TAGAGCCATAAGCCAAGGGTGCATCAAATTTCATCACACTGGCATTTCATGTGCAGAACTCTGTAATAGCAACTCCTTCCTGCAACTGAGAACTGTTTTCCCTCTGTAGGGAGATGTCTTGTCACTCCAATCCACAGTTCAAGTAATTCTGGAGAAGAGGCTGTTGGCATGCGAACAATAACCTCCAGTTCCCAATGTTGCAAGCATTCTTTCATAAGCAGAGGCAAAAAGCAACCTTTGAAAGGCCTTGAGCACACACAAGGCAAGTGATCTGCTTGTTAGCCAACAGGCACGAAAATAGAACACAAAATATGAGACTGCATCTGATCACGGGAATCCAAATGAGCCAGGCTATGAGGCTTTCCACACCTGCTTAGGGGTCTCCGTTTCTTCTTAGGTAAGTCACTGGGACCTCAAACGTTGCTGAATAGTGTCCATACTGCTAATAAATGTAACAGTGCATGAGAAACAGAAAAAAAGACTAAAGAAAAGTATCAGTGTGAACTACACAAAAGAACATAATGAAACAGGAGTTGCTTGTAATACAGCTAAATTTGCAGAAGAAAAAGCTAAAGGTGACTTTTAACTTGAAGTTTGAAAAGTTGAAGGAACAGAAGAGTCACGTTTCTTCAGTGCACCTTCTGCAGACATGCTCCTAGCAGGCCAGCTGCCACGGCACAGGAGACCAGCAAGTCGCTGTTGCCAAGCTCACATCAATGCAGCAAAGGCAAACAGAAGGTAAAGACAGGGTGGATGCTTGCCTTGTAAATACACGGGGATCAACAAGGTTTGAAGCAAGCTGGTTCCTAAGACTGAGCCTGCCATGCAACGTTGGGAGAGAAAGTCCAACTTGTGTACTGAAATCTGACAGAAAGAGAGCGCCCTGGGGATGGGCAAAGAGCTTCTCCCTTCCCCACCCTTCTCGCCAGAAGTAAAGGAGGGAAAACAGCGATTTGCAGCCAGGAGCAGCAATCATAGGTAGGTTGCTGGCCATTCCCCTCAGCCTGATACCTCAACAGCAAAAGGGACTTTGGGGAAAAAAGGATCTGAACTTACTCCCTTGTTGCGATTTATGAGGGCCAGCTCGGCTAACAGGGGGAATGCACAGGAATGTACCTGTGCAAGAAGACATCGTGCCCATGCTAGCCACACAGACCAGAACAACGTTGGTGAAGAGGGCTGGGAGACCACCTGTGCCTGGCGTGTCCTGCATATCTAAGACTCCAGGACGTGGTTTTCGCTGCTTGCATCCAGCAGCCCTCAGCCCAACAGTGGCTGCTCTTTTCTGCCCGGCATCATCTAACACCAAGCTGGGGGGAAGTCCCCTACCCCACGTGTGACAGGCAGTGGCCTCCCGGGCCATCAGCTCCAACCCCTTCCCTTTGTGACAAGTTCTTCATAGACACGAGATGAAGAGTGGTTCCTGTTATTAAGCGGGGAGCCATCATGCTGATAGTGGGGAGGGCTCGGAGGCAAAGAGCAGAACAGAGCAAGCTCTCATGTAAGAGATGAGAAATGTCCTGGTTTTGGCTGGGATAGAGTTAATTTTCTTCCTAGCAGCAAGCATAGTGCTGTGGTTTGGATTTAGTAGGAGAAGAATGTTGATAACACACTGATGGTTTAGTTGTTGCTAAGTAGTGCTGACACTAGTCAAGGACTTTGCAGCTTCCCATGCTCTGCCAGGTGCACAAGAAGCTGGGAGGGGGCACAGCCAGAAGAGTTGATCCAAACTGCCCAAAGGGCTATTCCATACCATATGGCGTCATGCTCAGTATAGAAACTGAGAGGGGGGTTGGCCGGGGAGCAGCGATCGCTGCTCGGGAACTGTCTGGGTATCGGTCGGCGGGTGGTGAGCAATTGCATTGCGCATCACTTGCTTTGTATTATATTATTATTATTATCATTATTATACTGTTATTATTAGCAT